AGAGAGAGAGAGAGAGGAGACACCTCCTAGGGAAGAGAGAGAGAGAGAGAGAGGAGACACCTCCTAGGGAAGAGAGAGAGAGAGAGAGACACCTGCTAGGGAAGAGAGAGAGAGAGAGAGAGAGACACCTCCTAGGAAAAAGAGAGAGAGAGAGAGAGTGTGTGTGTGTGTAGGCAAGGTCGGGGGAGGTCAGGCCCAGTGTCCAACCAGGTCAGGGCGAGGGCTCAGAGGTCAAGGGTGGCCCCCATCTGAGAGTAATTTGATTTGTCTATGCTGCTCATGGAGGTGGGAGGGTCTAACCTGACAGTCTAGGGGGGCTCCCCACCCAGCCCCCCGCTTTCCCCTACTTACTCAGATGTGGCCAGGTCTCTCTTCAGCCTGTGGAGGAGGAAGAGAGAGGGTTAGCCCAGCTCGGGCCTTTGCCCTATGGTGCCCTGGGGCCCAGGTGTGTGTGTCGGTTTGTGTGCTATTGTCTCCAATCTCCTGGTGCCAGGCCAGGCAGGACTTGAACCCCTACCTGCCTAGAAAGGGACCCACATTTCGTTTCTGGTTGAGCACCCAACTCCTTGAAGGGTCTGGGTCCTCATGCAGCCCAAGTGCCACGGATAGTCCCATGGATGTCAGCTCCAGCTGGTGCACTCTGTGCCCACTCACCGTCCCTCCCGCCGGCAGCACATGATGTAGGCCAGCAGCAGGGTGAGCAGGAGGGCCACCAGCAGGGGCACCAGGAGGGTGACCAGAGCATCTGTCAGGAAGTCACGGGCTGTGGCCTCGGTGGGTGGGCAGAAGAAAGGGTCGTGCTCCAGGATCCCATCACCTGGGGTGGGCACTTCATCTGCAGGCTCTGGCACTGACTTATCCACCTGCACAGAGAGCACAGGGCTGACCTAGGAGCAGCTGGCTGGACTCAGAGACTCTCCAGAGCAGGGCAGGGGTTCCAGGGCCATCCTACCTATCGCCCTATCCAACCACAGAATTTCCTTTGCCTGCCTGCCCCCATTCGTGTGACCTAGCAGGA